ACTGTTGATAACAAATACTTAGAATTTTGAATAAAACAGGAAAAGGACAACATTTAGGGTCAGTTGCATGTTTCTTCACCTTCCCAACTACCCAAGCATCTATTCTATATGCTATTTTTATATGGATGATTTGATTTTAGCTGCTTTTTGAATGCACAATTTATGTATATCAATTAATTAAATAAATTATAATAAAACTCATTTTAGGTGCATAGAACAGAATGGTTGTAAAAAATATATTTAACACGGTTGTATCAGAGGAACAAAATTTTAATATAGGCACATTGAGAATCATAAATCTTATCAAGAAAAGTTCTTCTTAGCTTTTTTTCTTGCAAACTGGAATTACTTTAATTTTTCCTATTTCATAAAAAAAATACAAGTTTGGTATGTAGTTGAATAGGAAATATAAATTTTTGGGTTGTAAGGTCCAACGTGGTTTTAATTTGAGGCAGAAAGAATTGGTCAGAGGTGGTGGTGCCTGTTTTGTGAATTTTAGGAAAACTATATAAAATACTAGGGCAGGAGCATTGTATCCAACAAGCTCCCATCCTGGTATTTTATATGGTCTTCCTAAACTTCACAAAACAGTCCCCCCTCTGACCAATGCTTTTTGACTTAGGCATGCACAGTTTCAAAATTCCTTGAACCTATACTGCAGCCACTCATTACCAAAGAATTTACTAATCCTGATTTCTTCTCATGTTGCACGTGAATTAAGTTAACTGCCCCCCACCAAAACTCACTTCATGGCTAGCTTTGATCTTACCTCCCTCTTTATAAACATACCTCTATATGAAACTTTTGATATTTGTATATCTGGGATTTCATGTAGTAATATTTTTCTGAACCTCAAATTAAGACCATGTTGTACTTTACAACCAAGAATTTACAAGACTGGTGATTTGAATGAAATGCATATCAGAGTGCAGGATGTCGTTAGGTTCAATTAACACTGTCCAGAACAGATGATGTTGCCGTAACTTCATTCAATGATAGGCTGGTTGAGAATGACGGAAAGCATATTCATCATGACATTTTTTTGAAACACTCTTTGCCATGTTCAGATTTTCTTAAATAAAATCTGTCTTTCTCAACAGAAATACATGGACTTTCAAAAAGTCATCCAAACTATGATTCTGTATTGCTGAACCACAGATTTCTTTACATATGTAGTAAGCTATGGTAGCATCATGTTCGCACATTTGCAATTAGCAACTAAAAACAGTTTCTTTTGTGCTTAAATAGAAATTTTGAGAAGTTTAATATAATAATTTAGTAACAAAAGTTAAACGATAATTTTGTGCTAATAAACTGTACTCTCGTTTTCTTTATATAAATTAATCAATTTTATAAATATATATTAATAAAATGTACCCATATTTTCTTTAATTAGATTACTCCAGTTGTAGAAAAGGTATTCCAGTTTCAAGATACTCCTGATGCTTACAGAAAGCTGCAAGAGGGTCATGCTCGTGGAAAAACTGTGATTTCAGTGAAAAACACTGCTTAACACACTGGTTTAATTAAATTAAGACAACATCTGTTTTTATTTTATCAGATAGAAATAAGTACAGTAAAAGCATTTAATAATTACCATGTTACTTGTGTTTTTAAATTAATAACAAAACTTTTTTTTTCTGATGTGTATTTTTTATATTGGTATTGAAAATCAATTAAGCTACTGAAATCTTACAAGTCATAGTAAAAGTTTTGTTTTTAATGATTATATGAGTGAATGCTAGAAAGATGCTTTGTAAAAGTAGAAAGAATGCTGTCGTCAAAAAATAATTGATGTAATAAATAAGTAGTTTGAATAGTTTGTTAAAGTTTCTGTGTGTGTTAATTAGATATAACTAAATGAAAATTGTGCTTATACTGATGATTTCATCTGTTGTATTCTGTTATAAATATGAGAGCTTCAAAGAAAGTCTTATCATTATAGGTTGGTTACATAAATATTATCTTATATTATAAAGAAACATCTGATACTAGTATAATGTTTTTGATTTGCACTTTGATTTGATTTAAACAAGTTTTTTTGATTACTAAGCTATAGAAGTTAATTATCTGATTGATAATCTTGACAGATATCTCTATCCAAAATTTCATTTGATACTCAGGTGTGCCCCCAGTGGCACTGAGGTATGCCGTGGACTTACAATGCTAGAAACCAGATTTCGATACCCGTGGTAGGCAGAGAACAGATAGCCAATTGTGTAGCTTTGTGCTTATCTTCAAAACAAATACTGAAGTGTTACTTTTGCTGCAATTACCATTTCATTTTAATTTTCATACATCATTCATATTCATCGCCCATACTTTAGCCAAAAGATAATCTTAGGACATGTTCAGGATGTGGTGTTTATTTAGACATTTTTTGGTAAACTGCTGAGTCTTCCAAGCAATCTTGATTGTTTACTGACACTTTATCCTATTGCATTCAGCACCTACGTATAGATACTAAAGTAAAATATATTTTTTTTAAACTTTTGTTTTATAACTTTAAATTTATAATTAGTTTTTTTTTCCTTTATTTTCACAAAAAAAGTCATTACTATTCACTTTACTTATTAATTTTAATTGTTAACAAGAATAGTATTCTGTATTTACAATGGCTAAGTTATAATCTTTAAACTGAATAATATACTTTTAGTTGTGTAATACAAAGGTCATAGCCACAAATAAAGCATCACTCTTTCACTGCAGGTATTTTTTGTTTGTCACAGTCATTTTAGTTTTATCATATACATTTATATTTATCTTACTAAAACTCTGGAAATTCTACAAAAGACATGTTGAGCAATCTGAGTGGAAAGATTTGTTATACTAAATATGCCAAGAAAGTCTGATAAAACAAACTAAAGTTTGATCCCAAATTACTTTTAACAAATCTCTTTCTTGTATAGTGCATTAAGGAAGAGTGTATTTCATTTCTACTTTTTTTTATCCGTGGCTTTTTGTCAATACCATACTTGTCAGTTAAGACTAATTAAAAAGTTATTTAGTAGTCTTGTATGGAACATCACATTATAAGGTGAATAACATTCAAACTGACAATTTTAAAACCTTTGTAGAGAAGAAACAGTGTTGAAACATCACAACAAAACATTAAATGTTGAAACAATTCAATGGTAATTTCCTTAAAATAGTAATGAATAATTATATATACATATGCAATATGATTAACTAATGAGCTGTTTACAACTGACTTTTGTCATTCCAATAAGGAAAATTGCATTGTGTTTGTTTTTAAGCAAAGGAGACTGACTGCAATGCACTGTTGGAAGAAATGGTTAGGTTTCGATGCACAATAGAGCTCAGCTTTGCGAAGTAGTTGAAGGGATTGTTTGTTTTTTGTTTTTTTGCTGGATGCTACGGTTCCTTGTCATTTTACTGAGCACAAAAAAAAACTGCTATTAAAATGAGTGCTTTTGACAACCCTGGTAGTCACCAACACAAGCCAAGTAACAGTGTAGGTGACGTCTGATGACAAAAAAAACTTTATTAGTATTGATGATACTTTATCCCACATGCAGTCTGTTTATTTTGGTAAGACATCAGCTGGATCAAAGTTATTATAGACTGCTGTTCATGTGGATGCTGTTCTAAAAATTATCTTACATCGTAATCACAGATGTTATTCTATTTCTAAGTTTTATATACATGCATACACATAGATGGTAACTATGTGGTATATAAGCATGCCACGTGTTTTCTAATTTTAATCCAATATTTTTCAAAATTATCAGTTATTTTTATTATCTGCAGTGGTCAAGGAAGTCATTAAGTTGATTTTCTTCTAGCTGCCTTTGTTCCATGTCATTCTATTGACATTACATTTCTCCTGCCCATGAGGGAATGGATCTAATACTGCAGATTGTGTACGAATGTAGGCAGCAGTGTCCTTCAGTGGTAGTTAAGGTGATCTATGCTTGAATGAGAATGGCCAGTAAATTCGACATTGCCTGTGAAGTAAGGAATGTTGAATTTAAATAGTGTGGTAGAAGATTTTCACTTGATCCAATAAAAGTGACTGTCCCGTGTACACAAGACAAGTACACACACACACACACACACACACATAAAACTATGTATTAGCCATGAATAAGCCACAGAGGTAAAACGTCAGTTAAAATAAAAGTTCTCTGGAGGGGTAAAGGTAGTTTTTTTTCTAATTTTATTATCAAAGTGTGTAAATCCCTCCAGTAGGCACTAGAAATTTTGAAGAGCATGATCACATTTGAAACCTATAGAATGTAGCTTAAAGACAATAAATGTCTTTAAAAGGTAGGTTTTAGAGAAGGATGTGGTTTGAACCAACCAGTTGTGATCCTCTTTAAAAACTTTATATTTGCTGACCTTCTGATGAATTGGAATTCATCTTATCTTACTTTTTCAGTTCAGACTTTTGTTATTGAAGATTGAATTTTTAATCTTAATTATCTTGTTCTTCAGATTAACACATTTTAAACTTTAAAATTCTCCTTACGTTGCCATAGAAAGTAACTATGACAAAACTTCATATACTGAGAATTTTTTCTTTGGCTAGGTGCTGAAATTTACTATTGATCAAAAGACTTCTGAAACCAGCCTGACTTTTAACTTGATATAGCCCATAAATCTAATCTAAGTTGTCTTACTGAATCGATATTTGGCTGGCTCTGATTTTTTCTGGAGCTAGGCAGCTTCAATCATTCATGGTGTAGTATTTCTTTCATGATATATTTCCTCACCTCATATTTTAACCCGAGACCTATTATAGTGCTCTACAACCTGAGCCGGAGGTCTAGCCCTTAGTACTTGGCAGTAAACCATTTTTAATTACCCAAATTACTACATTCCTCCCTTGTCACAATCAAGGTAATTCTTAGACTTAGCTTCAGGGTTGCGGGATGGCCACTAGTTAGACACCAATGTGAGTTTTCTCACAATATATTTTCCTGTCTTGGATTTGAACCCAAGAACTGTAACATTCTAGACTAGTGCTCTATCAACTGAGCTAAAGCGCTAGCTCCCTAGTTCTTACTAGTAAGACATTTTTAACTACCTCAAACTACTACAAGAGATCCATCTATGGACTTCAAGACCTCACTGGACAAAGCAACCATTGTGCCCTCAGAGAAACCAGAAACTGATTTTTTATGTTGATGTGATCGGTCCAATAAATAACAGGATATTGGACAAAATATCTGTTACAGAGTAGTTCTGAATTGACTTTGTGAGAAATACATATAGAGACTGAACATAATGTAAGACACAAATGAAAAATCTTTATTATATCTCTAACATACAGCGTGTGTGTAGTTATTTATTTCATGCTTGACAATCACTTGTACTGGATCAGAGATGACTTCTTTCTAAATGACTTGGCCGATATCACCTACCAAACTATTTATGCTAACAATACTTACATTATAGGCATTCTCAGAGTTACCCATATTGACTTGTACTGTCCACATGACTGGTCATTTTCATTCAAGTTTGAGGAAGGTCATAATATCAAGGCATCAACTGACCTACTCTTGGAGGATATTGACTTGTACTGTCCACATGACTGGTCATTTTCATTCAAGTTTGAGGAAGGTCATAATATCAAGGCATCAACTGACCTACTCTTGGAGGATATTGACTTGTACTGTCCACATGACTGGTCATTTTCATTCAAGTTTGAGGAAGGTCATAATATCGAGG